TCGTGGTCATGGCCTCTCCATTTGACACTTCAGTAGTGTATTGGAACCTGAGGCTCGGTTTCTCTACCTCGACTGGTATTAAGGCTTCCGCTCCATAGACTAGAGAGAATTGGGTCACTCCGGTACTCGACTTCGAAGTCGTACGGTATGCCCACAAGACTTTGGGCAAGATTCCCTTACACTTTCCCTTTGGATCGATCAATCTCTTTTTCAGATTTTGGAGTATTGTTTTGTTCGTCGATTTTGCTTGTCTGTTCCCACTAGGGTGGTAAGGAGTTGATAATATCTTATTGATCTTATGGTCTTCGAAGAATTTATTTACCTTGTTGCCGACGAATTGTTTTTCGTGGTCACAAACGATCTCGATCGAAATCCCAAATCGATATATTATTGATCCCAGATGAAGTCGATGACTTCCTTCTCCCGGACCTTCTCGAACGCCTGAGCTTCGACCTATTTTGAAAAATAATCAATCATGAGTAGTATATATTGGGACTTACCGGGCGCCCATAGCAGGGGACCGATGATATCCATTTCTCAATTCATAAACGGCCATGGAGATAGGACCGGGTGAAACATCTCTCTCGGTTGACATTCTTAGGCTGACCTGGAATTAAGATTTCAAAGAACAAGCATAAAATAGGGTGTGTTATGGAGATTCATACCAAATCACCACTATTATCCTTAGCCCCACAGTGGACGCCAAACTGTTTACCCCAAAAATGAGTAACAATTAAATTTGTACGCGGTTTAAAAGATACGTGGTTTAATTCAACACGAATATTTAAGAATAATAGATAAATAAATTGAAGACAAAATAGACGATCAAACCAAGCGCAATGTAATGTCCAAGCCTGATCTTAGATTGAACAGTGAAACTCGTCCTCGATTGGACCCTCGGTACAAGCTCGGTCGCGAGTGAAGAGAAGAACAAATGAGTACTGCCTTGAACAATATTTAGAAGATAAAAGCAAACTTTTATTACTTTGAAATGCGGGTTATAATGTGTCAAACTAAAGAAAAAATTCCCCTTTATATAGTAGGGGAATTTCAGTCCCAGCACAAGTCTAAAAAAGATTAAAAAAAAAAAAAATCGGTAATTGTTGATCTATAATTAAAACCGAACTGGATTCGTGCCGTAAAATCTGGCTGAGGGCAAATATTATGCCCCCATATCTGTCATGCATAACTGTTTACCGCGTCTCCCGAGGTCCAGAAGTCATACTTGGTTCGGGGTACGTCGCTTTGCCGTGTCCGATCTCAGATACATCGTTCATTCTTCCTGGGCTCGATACAAGGGGTTCTTGGCCTCGATCATAATTACATCGAGCCGTGCTTCCCCTTCGTTCTCTCATTGAGAAACCGCGGAAAACTTTTGCCCCCAATTTTACCCCTACACAATTTTTGCTTTAAAATAAAATAAAAATTTTAAACAAATACTATACATACCAGTGATGAGCTGCATTTTTTAAACTAAGAGTTAGATTTATTTAAACAACTAATTTATTTAAACTAACTTTATAACTTTTGTATTATAAAAGTTAATGATACTTTGCACAGTATAATAGCAAAAATTGTTGTAAAATAGTTAAAGTTTTTGCATTTAGAAAATCTCATTTTGGATCTATTTAGAATAAAAAAATATGAGGGACAGAGGTGTATTGCCGCTATGTAATGTTGGAGTCAATTTCTTGGGTAGTCACAAGTTATTGAAATATGGTGCCAAAGTCACTTATGTTTTACTTAAGACAAAACAATTACCCAACAATTGCATTTAGACTCAAAAAAAACAAATACATATTTAACATCCCATGTCATATTAAAATCTTATTTTTAAATGATAAAGCTCATTTAATACATGATCCAAGTACACGTCTAACCCGTAACAAGAAAATGAGTTTACTATCAATATATTAATGTGAAGAACTCTTTGTTTTCAAACTACAAGCAAATCTAACACGATTATGACTATTGTTTCTTAACTTTTGGCCAATGGTCCATGTTAAGTGGTCAATATATTAATCAATATATTAATGTTAACTTTTGGCCAATGGTCCAATAAGATACTTACAATAGACAGATGATATTGATAAAATATATATAAGTATGTAATTAGAGACGAAAATCACATGCATCGGCTTTCTTTTTTATTTTTTTCAGAAAAATTGCATCTTATTTTAAGTAGTCTTGCGAGCCAAAAAAAATCTAAAAAAGTACTCCAAAAAAAAGTATTCCAGAGAACTTTTCTTCCATGAAGTTTTGTACTGAAATTTCTTTGAATAAAAATTAAAACAACAAAGCATTTCGTTTGCGGAGACATATATAAGTAAATATACAGAAAAACACACAAACCATAGACACAAATAGAAAAACTCGATTCAAACACAAATAAGTAAAAAAAACCTAACTTTTAAGAAAATTACTTTAATATCTCGTTAGGTATTCGAAACTATTTTATCTTCTACACTTTAAAGACAGAAAAACTTAAAGACCTTTGGATTTTACCTCGTGGCAGTCCTTTTGGTTGACATCAAAGGTATGTAGCGGTTGAGGGGATAATTCTCTCTATAAATTTTTAAATTACTGCTCGAAGAACGGGAGGAATGCATTTCTTTGAAAAGTTCATATCTGAATTCTACTTTAGATCCCTAGAATTTTATATTTTATCTCGTCTGATTTCATGAAGGAATATGTGGGAATATGAGTAGGTTAGGAACTTTTAAGATAGACCACCTAATTTCTTGTTGAGTGGATTTTATGGGTACTTGGGTCATGCATTAAATGCGTTTTATTATTAAAAAATAGGATTTTAATATGACATGATATATTAAATATATGTTTTTTTTTTTGAGTCAAAAGGCAAATGTTGTGTGATCTTTTTATCCCTAATAAAATAAAAGTGATTTTGATAGGATATTCCTATAACTTGGATGACCATCCAAGGAATTGACTCGTAATGTCGTGTTTGTAGGTGTTGACATTGATATGCGAGGCTCATCCAAGATTTTAATTCGATGAATTCATTATTTACGCTATTACAATCAAACTCATTATATTTCTGAAACTATGATTTTTAATTTAAATTGTTAAAATTTTGGTAAAACTTTTACATATATATTTATATTGCACATGTGTCGAAAACACTACATTTAGATTAATCCAGTACTTGTGCTCTAATATTACCACTGATTGATATATCTTAGTTAACTAGAGCAGAGATCGATTGTCATGCCCCAAACTGAGTTGGGACGTGAGTGGCATCCAACCTGAACTAGCTCGTCAAGTTAACCCCGTTCTAACTAACTAAAGCTCTGAACCATACGCCATACTCAATTAATAACAAGGTCTTTAGATAATAGTAGCTAGAAAGCTGAATACGAAATCAATAATAGCTTGTAGCTAAAACGCATTATCAGGTCACGAGCCTCTAATTTATGTTTGAATACATAAAATTTTGGGGCATTTTTTCGGGAATAATAAAAGTGTATGAAAAGAAGTGCTACCATTGGAGATAAATCAACGAGTCCCGTAACTAATAGCTTGTTTGGCCAAACTTCTAAAATCTTCTTATTTTGAAAAGTACTTTTAAAAAAAATATTTTTCAAAAAAGTACTTTTTGGGAGAAATAATTTATTTTTGGCTAATTAATTTGAAAAACACTTTTGAGGAACAATTAGTGTTTGACCAAGCTTTTAAAAAGTACTTCTAAGCGTATTTTTCTCAAAAGTAATTTTCAAAAAAGTGCTTCTCGGAATAAGTTACTTTTTTCTGCTTCTTAAAAGCTGCTAGTGCTTCTGCTTCTACTCAAAAGCACTTTTTTTCCTTCAACAAGCTTGGCAAATATCTTAATTTTGAGAAAAAAATACGTTTGACAAAAAAAAAAAAAAAAAAAAAAAAAACACTTTTGGCCAAGAAAAACACTTGGCCAAACAGGCTATAAGTTTGAAATGCCCTTCCCTGGCCATGTGCTTTGTTACCTGCACACTTAACATCTGTCACACGGGGGGGGGGGGGGGAGAAATTCAAAAATAACAAGATTTACAAGTGGTAATTGAAAAATAGCCACTGTTTCAAAAGTAATCGAAATTTAGCTACTTTTCATGTAAAGATAAATCTGATCGAAAATACTGTTCAAAATCCAGAAAATATTCCAGCATAATATACTGGAGTTCCTGTATAATATACTGGTCCAGCATAATATGCTAGAAGTTTATACACATATGCTCCAATCTCGAGTGTATTATGCTGGAACTTTCCGCATGTTGGAGTTCCAGCATAATATGCTGGAAGTTCATATAGGTGAACCAATCTCCAGTATATTTTGCTGGACCGATCTGTGTTGCAACAAAAATAATGGCTATTTTTTAATGACTTTGCAAAAGCTGACTATTTTTGAATTACCAATCGGAAAACTGACTAGCCCGTACTATTTTTACGTCACACGGCGTGGCATATCCAAACTTGATAAGTACCATTAAAATATATCCATAAAGTCAAATTGACAACCCCATAAATGGAGAACAAAACTAGTCGAGAGTGTATATACATATAATAAAATATAACAAGTAGAGCATGCAATTCACATAATAAATACTAATACGCTGTGACTGATTTTGAAACCTGAATTTAAAACTTATAACTGAAAGATGAAATCGAAACTAAAATTGAAAACTGAGCCAACAACCGATAACTGAAACTAAATCTAAAAGCCGAGTCTAAAACTGATATATATGAAACTAAAGATGAAATAGCCCTCTAATTGGATGAACTTGAATTTTTGTCCCCGCTTGTTCCATACGTAGAAATTCAATTTTAACAAGTGTTGTCCCTCACTTACTTAACACTTTTAACTTTTGACCTTAAATTCTGCTCACGGGCGAGCTTGGACTAAAAATTAAAGACCATTGCAAAAAGCATATTTTTTGTTTTTGAAAAAAGGGGTCTATAACTTCTAACCCAACTCCTTTCAGTCCAGCCCATTTTTATCTTTCAAGGATTGGGCTTTTCAACTGAAGTCCAGTCGGTAAATCTTCTTTGTTCGGTCCACTATCAGACTACCGGCGAAACGAAGCTTGGGAACTGCAAAAGGAAGGTTACGACAATCAACGTCTCCGGGAATGAGTGCAGGTAAATTTACTTTTTTGTGTCATTTCTTTACGGTTTATGCTCTCAATTTTGTAAATATAAGTCACAATAGTAGATTCTTTAACTTAAAATAAATCTTAAAGAAGCATAATTTTTTTTTCTTTAGATAATTTAGATTATGGTTCTGTCTATGTAACTTTTTAAGGTTAAAAATAGATACAGATGATTTATTTAACTGATAGATTAGTCTGGAGGAAGCTGATTATACATATTCAGTGTTTACTTGATTTGAAATGGAATAATTGTATATGGGATTGCACAGGAGCTGTTATTTTAACTTTTTGATTTTACTTTGTACTTTAAAACTCATACTTTGACCTCATGAAACAATTTGATCAAGGTACAATGTTTAGGCAAATGATCAACCATCTACTAGAAGATCACCAAATTTTTACCCACAAAGGTTAATTTTAGTGTCTCTCCCATCAGAGGCGAACCGAGGATTTCAATGACGGGGGCACACTATCTTTTAATATGTCGCTTACTAGCAACAAAATTTAGCTTACAACTCTTTAAAAATATGATGCTACTTTGTCGAAGTGATTGTTGAAGGGAGGGAGAAGGGTTCGTAATTTCTATTTGCAGAGAGAGGGGCAAGGTTTTGGAGCATTTGATTTTGAGGGAGGGACTTGAAAAAGAATAGCATTAATTAAGTTGATTATTATGTACAAGTATTAAACGACGATTGAATTTTAAAAAACAAAACAAAACAACAAATCCAGTGTAATCCCATAAATAAGGTCTGGGGAGGGTAGTGCCTACGCAGACCTTACCCCTACTTTATAAAGATAGAGGGGTTTCCGATAGACCCTCGACTCAAGGAACAGTAGAGATAAGATAAAGCAACCAAGTAGTAAACAAAGGTGACAACAATGCATTATGGTGATGGGCGTGAACAACAACAACAACAAACACAACATGTAATAATAAAGAACCACGACTAAGATAATACAAAAATAGTCTTAGTACTAGTGGTAGGCCTAGGAGGAACACACTAGTGACTGTCAACCTACAACCCTAATCCTCGACCTCCACATCTTCCTATCATGGGTCATATCCTCTGTAAGCTCAAGCAATGACATGTCATGCCTAATAACCTCTCCCCAATACTTTTTAGGCCTTCCCCTTCCCTTCCGCAGACCCTCCATGGACAACCCCTCACACCTCCCGACCGGTGCATCTATGTCTCTCCTCTTCACATGCCCGAACCATCTCAACCTAGATTCCCGCTACTTGTCCTCCACAGATGCCACTCCTAACTTGCCCCTAATAACTTCATTCCTAATCATGTTCTTCCTTGTATGCCCACACATCCATCTCAACATCCTCAAGAATTTAAAAAAGATAAAATTTAATAAACCAGTTGACTACTAAGTATAAACAATCATTGAGACCAGTACAGTAAAACGGAAACCTAAAATGCAGGAGTTGGGTTTGTATTCCAAACAACAAAGCGCGAGTAGGGGGCTTCCGCGGTACACTCAACCAACATTACGATGCGGCCTTTTGTGATTTTTGGGGGCACCAGTAATATGTTTAAGTGGTCCTCGATGTATATACTTATATACACAAGACATACATACAGTGATTTTGCCGAGGCCAACGGGTTCCGGTGACCCCCTACCTCTAATGTAGGTCAGCCCTTGTCTCCCATGCCATTAGAATATAGCTTGGAACATGAAAATTAATGGCTTGAGTTCATGGGTATCAGCATTGCATGTTCTTATTTGTACTTTTATGATCTTAACCATAGATATGCAATTGATAATTATTTCCGCGCTTAGTGTTTGTTTTATGTAACTGGGGGATATTTGTACTTTGTGACAGACTGGAATGGCTTTACTCTCATATGCTATTTACAGAATCATGGATAATTAAATTATCCTTGATAAAACGAACAGTTAATTTGCTTTTGTCCTTTATCTTCGTCCTCTCTCTAAGTTATCTTCTCTTTTTCTGGGTTACCTATTTCTATTTCTTGTTATACTACGCTTGTTTGTTTGAAGGGGGAGCATTTGGTGGAAATAGAGGACTGAGACCAGTGCCGCCTGAAAAAGGAGTTTTTCCGCTGGACCATATGCATTTATGTGACCTGGTATAATCCTTTTCACAGATCTCATAGTTTGTTGGTTTTGGTGTTTCCTTTTTCTCCCGTTCTTTTAAGATAACGGATGGTTGTTGATGGAGCATATTTATCCTTTGCAAGGTTCATTCTTTCTTCTTACTTACTATTCCTTTTGGTCTATTTTAGGAGAAGAAAGAGTACCTCAATTGTCTTAAATCCTCTGGGCATAAATCTGACAACTGTCGACACCTCTCTAAGAAGTACCTGGAGTGCCGTATGGAGAAGTAAGTCCATTGGTATGATTTGGCCAACGCTTTCACTGTTTAGTTTATAGCATGTGAACTATATTTAAGGTGTAGCTTCCTATAGTCAACAAAGTACTCATCTTCTTGCCACTGCAGTGTGAAGCGGCTTACTTTGTTCATGAGTTCATACAATTTCCTAGAATGAGAGGTCTGGCCAAGGCTTGTCTGTTATTACTTTTAGACATAAATCTTAATTGATGTCATTCTCTACATTTCAATATGTTCAAAACTGTAAAGAATATGCCTATAAGCTTCTTCGTTTCCTCTTTTTTTTTCCTTCCTTTTCTGTGGGTACTGAAATTAAAAGTTACCTAATGTTGTCGAGTATGATCAATTACCAATGTTGATTTGATCTCTTCAATTGATTAGTATCATTATGCCTCTTGTCCTTATCCCAAAAAAAAAAGAAAGGATTATGCCCCTTGTGGAGGGTGATGACAGATCACTTGAAATCAGGTCACATCTTTCTATCAAATGTTACCTATTGGTGCAAATTCATAATTTATTCTGGTTTTCCCTGCTGCATGTTCCATCAAATATCTCAGGAATGCATCTGTACCAAAGTAGATGAACAAATGCAATATTGTTGCTTGATTTAATGTCTTATAAGTAATCCCCTGCATATTTGAGAGAGGGTAAACAGACCAGTTACCTTTTGCATGAGTATCCTTTTTGCCAACTTTTGGTATATTCTGGATGATAAGTAATGTATGCCAGCACCAATTGTTCCTAGAAAAGCCTAAAACATCCTAGCATTTAGAAAGAAACACAGAAAGTAGAAGCAAAGGGTTTTTGAAGACGATCCAGAATATTGAGGGAAAGGAATGCTAGAACTTTTGAAGTCAAGAATTACAGTATACTTAAGATCAAACAGAATTGTATATTCTTGCTTAGTTTTTGGTGCAACATGGCAATGGCAAATGTGTTAGAGCCTGAAGCCATGCTTGATTTTCCTTTTGCATTACATTCTTTGTAATGTTTTGCAGCTTTTGCTTGTATTTCTCTTCCAGCATTTTGTTGGCACACTACAATATACACTACCTTGTGAAAAAATACTAGAAGCAAAGGATTTAACTTTCTCTTCTTTGACTAGTGGAAATACAGAAACAAAAAGGATAATTCTTTTGATCTAGATCAATTAGTTATATACTGAACCTATGAAACTATCTAGGATTAGGAACAGGAACAAAAGCTTCCCGTATCTTGAAACCGCTTCAATTCTCTCTCACTTAATTTCACCTCTTTGTGGACTCAAACAATGTATGCTAGAGTAATAGGATACTTTCCCGAGCAGAGTGAAAAGAGATCACATAAGAGCAAACTTATTTCCTGCATTTATGAAGTTAGGAGAAGAAACTTTCGTTCTTTCTCATTTTTTCCTTTTTCCTGTATACTATGTTTCTTCGGGACCTTTTATCTCAGCAGAGCTTCGAATCTTTTCTTTAAAGGGAAATTCATACACCTGTCTAAATAGAACTTCAGTTCCTACAATATATTGGCATTCATAGTTAAGTAAATGCACAGTAATGCCTTTCTGGTGAAATTGTTTCATCAAATGTGTCTTTGTTATTTCCTTATAAGTATTAGTTCCTCTTGTGGGAAAAAGAAGTTTATCTTTTCCTCTACGTTTAGAGCTATTATCATTTTATTATCATAGGAATTTAGGCAGTAAGAGAATGTTTATTTTATGAGCATTTTGCAGGAACCTGATGGCAAAGCAAGACATGTCAGAACTTGGCTTTGGCAAGAACTATGATGCAGAAGATTCTTCAGATGAAATGACCAATGGAACAATAGAAAAATGAAGAATGAAGAAAATAATCCTTAAACTTGTTAAGTATTTTCTGGGATTTTTTCAGAAGCCTGGGTAGAAGCTTTACTATTGTCACTTTGACAACTTTCACAGTTGCATACAGGAGATCATCTTTTTCCATGTGTATTCTTTTCTACCCCAAATCATTGCTCATTATCTCACATACTTCATTTTGTTACCTCCTTTTTCCTTTTCTTCTTGTGATTATGTGTACCTGAAGGCAAAAATGTATAGCAATAGAGAAGGAGAAGGAAAACGATAAAACGAGGAAATGTATGCACATTCAGGCTAATGATCATTATGTTTCTTCCTAATCTCTTTTACATCTGCAATGCCTTGCATTCTTTCCTTCTCTTGATCAACCTGGAATATTAGGAAATTCCAACACCACCAGTGCAAGCAGCTGCAAGTTTGTAACAGATTCCTGCCAAGCTTTCGAGAGAGCAACTTTGAACTTTATTAAGTGAATTTACTTGTGCACAATTTTCATTTTGATCATCGATATTTAACTTAAGTATGTTTCAGTTAGACACTAGTTAGATCAAAGGGGTATTGGTCATGGACTAATTAATTACAAGGTTGAATAAAATCACTTATTCCGCTACCAAAAGTTCAACTCTACAATATAGTCCTGAAAGAGTATTGGGAGCTAAGAAGTGCGAGAAATCAATTGACTGTAATTAACCTGTTGGCATTTTTAATGTCTGTAATTTATTGTGAATTGAGCTCGTGAAAGTCACAGTACCATTCTCTTTAAAAGACCATTTCCAGTAAGAAGGTTAAGTTTCATCAAACAAGAACTAAGTATTTAAGGGAGAAAATTTGCGGTCATGAGCTCAATTTCTATAAATTTTTTGCTCCACTCACCTAATTTATTGATTTATTACTTTGTGATTGACTCTTAACTTCTCCATTAAAATCAACAGTATTGAAGGACAAATTTCAACAACTTCATAAATAATCAAAACTTCACTACCACAACAAAGGAAGTCAAGTAACTTATACTGGAAAAGAAAAAGGCAACTTGCACTGGAAAAAATTGAAAAGTCTATGAAGGCGCTCCTGTATATATATATAAATGGTTAAAAAATGGTTGCCATAAATAGTGCTATCTAAACCTCCGCTATAGCAGAATTGACATCATCAGATTCATGAACAACTATTTCATCACGAAACAGGAGTTTAAGATATGGAAGAACTCTTGGAAGCATGGGCAGGTCAGCTAAGTTAACGCTCATCAGATCAAAAGCTACGCACGCTTTATTCATGTATGATTCATCAAATACTGGAATTTTAGGGTATCTTTGGCTGAAGTGAGTGAGGATGACGCGATATGCTCCAGCAGCGTCCCCTGCATCAACAGCTTCCCCCATTGTGCTGTGATTTTTCGCTATAGCTTCTTCCACCATACCATCTTCAAACGTAGCCTGCAGCAAATGGCCCAGAATAATCAAAACTGTAAATTAATTTTGGGATAGAAGAATTGTTATCGACAGAAAATATTTCAACATCATTTAGTTACATGCCTCATGTATGAAAACTGTTGCTCCACGAGAGGCTTCAACCAGTTCCGGACAAGGCCTAGTGTCACCAGAGTAAACAATCTTCCAACCTGGTATCATCTTCCCAATAACATTAGTCTTATCAGCAGCCTTCAGGACGATTCCATAAGCTTGCGGACAATGAATAACGGGAACACTATTCAATGATATCAGTCCTGATTCTCTGAGCGTGTTCTTTAGTCTGCTCGCACTCCCATTAGCATCATTGTCTTCGTTCAACTCAAAAGCCTCCCATGAAGATTTTGTAGTATCCCTACTATCGAGGAACTGCATATCTAGATCCTCGAGCATTTGGTACCTATCAAGAAATATCTCAAGTTGCTGAGGACCTACAACAATTAAAGGTTCATGGGGAGTTTCATTGAGTAAATCACGTCTCAGAGTAAGAATTCTTGCAAGACCCGCATGATGATCCGCGTGAATATGAGAAATCCAAATACACCTTAAACCCTTCACAGCTTCATCAGCACCTTCAACACCAAATCTGTTTGAAAAGAGCACATTATATCCCACATTAAGCTTAGGCTAAAACCATAGGGTTATGATAAGTGTATATTAACGAACTCCACGTTACCTTCTTTTTAGCTGTCCCAGTGTTCCTTCACCACAATCTAACAGAATACCTCCCTTTGAGAAAAGATTAATAAATATAGAACTAACATTTCGGTATTTTGAAGGCTGCGATGAACCAGTTCCAAGAAGAACAATCTCCATATCCTCTCTTGTTATACCTTCCAAACAGCTAGGTAATGGAGTGCCTCCATTTGTTCCATTGTTCCCATGCCACAGTTGGATAATATGTTCAGAAGCACTTACAATTTCTGGAATTTCCGAAGTTAGTTCATCTATGATTTCTGTCCGAGAAAAAGTATCAGCAACACCAGAATTGTCTAATCCAAGGTCTTTATATGGAAGAAGATTAAACTGTTCCAGAAAACAAAGTTCATTTTCAAAATAAACCAAGCATTAAAGTGAAAATAACTTGCATAAGATAGATTGCGATGGATTTTATAGAAAACATATCTATATATGTACATTCCTAAGCAAATGACTTAAAACTTGGTATGTACTTTCTTAATCAATTTTTTTTTTTTGGATAGGTAAGGAATTTTTTTATTTATATAGAGCATCAATAATTCCAGGTACTAATTTCGGGCCAGAGCTATTTTAACCAAACTATATCGATTCTCTCACCTTGAGGAGGTTCTCCGCATAAATGAATCGACATGAGGTTGGAAGAGACAACTGAAAAGAACAAAATTAAAGTAACTGCTCTATTACACCCGAGATCAAGTCATTATCCACAGTTAATTTATTGTTCATTCAAACAGAATTTTAATAAGGTATACCTCCCTCGGGAACCTTGAGACTGATGGTAAGCTCTTCAACTGCTTAAGGGTCAAAAAACCAGGAGCAGGAAAGAATTGAGGGCACAGGTAGTTAAGTTTTGCAGCAATTCTTGAACTGGACTTCAGAATTGGAATCTCAATATTCTTCCTGCAGATGCCTAACGAATAATCAACATGTGACTACATAAACAGGAAAACATAAATTTATTGGACAAAGCTAGATGTGCATTTGAAAAGAAAAAGGTTACTTACGGCTCGTGTCCTGCCATTATGTGCTGGGCTTCACCAAATCTGGTCATCCATTGCTCATATGCAGTTGTATTTGTTACAGATGCAGGGCTAAGGTGTATTAAACAATTTACTTTTTTGCACATTTCAACAGGTTGTTCGGATGTATTTGAGTAATACAGAGTAAGAGACTGCAAAGATGACAGCTCTTGCAAATGAGAGAGTGTTGGGCAGTCAACGAGGAGCACAATAGGACCGGGAAAGGAAGGCTCCATAACATCACAAGGGTGAATCTGCACAGCATAACCATGCAAGCAAAGAATTGAGAACTTCATGAGATAGACTATAAATTCCTTGGTAAAGTTTGAAAAGAATTCTTCTAACTCACTGTTCTATCTAGGTGATCTGACTTCACTGGATTCCCACGTTTCAATTCACCATATTTTGGCCCACTTTCCAACCCAAGCTCAGCAGCCTTATCTCGATCGAGCTTCCCTTTAATCTCCGGAAACTCACAAATATAAACCACCGAAATATCACCTGGATCTAATGCATCTTCAGCTGTGGAATTCTTCATTTGAGCTTGAAGGTCTTCTGCAAAATGGTAGTCGTCAACTAGTGGAGCATTTAGCTTGGAGGATCCTTCCTTCATTGGGTCACACACTTTCGAGCAACGTGGTCGCAAGGGAATAGCACATATTTTGACAACTTCATCAACAATGGGAACATAAAGATGATCAAACTTCATTGAATCAGCACTAGCAACTTCATTTGATCCATGCGTTGAGAGAACACTATGCGTATGAACCATGGCAGCATTAGGGACGAACGATTTCATTGCTTCAACCAACTGATCGAGATCAGGAGGACCCCATACATTGACCTGCAAACAGATGCTGCAATTTGTATCAAGATTTCAAGCACCATTTATAGTTCAAGAAATTTTGTGATGAATATATAGCAAGCAAAATAAGCTAATGTGACACTCACAGACATCCGTTCTTTTCCCATCCCAGCCAAAGTCAATAAGAGACCTGCAAGTAAAACGATTGAATTTCTTTGGTGGTTCTTAATCAACTGCAATAAATAAGGCAGAATCTTCTCGAGGCTTAATTCAATCCAGGCTCTCAAAAAGTTAACAATGTTCATATTGTGCTCAATAATAACCAACCTGGGAGTCCACCAGCGGTTTCTGAGCAGACACGTGATAAAAGTATGTCATCAATCTGAAAAAAAAAGACTTTTATGTATATTCCCCTAGATCAAGAACACAGTAACATACACTATAGACTAGGTTTAGAACAGTTAGATTCTGTATCTGAATACCTTTGACAATGTAAGTTTATTCTCTGTTAAGAAGCGTTGCAATCCCTGGGAGCAGAAGAACATAAAAACATGCTGAGAAATAAGTTCAAATATACATTTTTTGTTTTTCCAATTTATCTTCATAAATCCCTTTTTAACAAAGGAAACAAGAACCAACAAAGAGCAAGAAGGACAAAGGTGGAAAGTAGTCTGTAGAACATTTCTATGAAGAGGAAACCTACTAGAACAATGGTAAAGACATTATTGGATCATCATGCGTCCTCACTCATCTACTAAACGTTTATTCTGGAAAATCGACAATAGGTAAGATCACGGATAATGACTTGAAAAGGAACAGTGGTATATACTATACCTAAAATGCAAACAAGGTATCTCCTTTTTTAGGGCATGTTAGTCTATATATTTCACAAACCCAATCAAGACAATGACCCTAACACTCAATTAAATAGACATGAGATGTATTGCCAAACTAACAAAATGGAATCACAATAGAACTAAGCTATCCTTTTAGTATCAGCAGGAACAATTAGACACTTGGGGCTCGCCTGTTTTGTTGTATAAGAAAAACTAATCATAGTTAAGCACTGCATAATTAATACTACAATGTTTGGTGTCCGATAAAAAATTCCGCATTAGTAATACAACCAGTAGGTTACCGTAATAAAATTCTGCATAACTAATACAGATGCAACTTATATGGAAATTTATGAATTATTTTATACAAGATAGAATGTGGAATAAGATTATGTTTTTAGCAATAACAGGATTAAGCTTACTTGGTTAGCTCAATCTTTGACTACTAATTCCCTCATTATTATTCATCGCATAACAATTCACAATATAATAGTCCACACACATATTACTGTTGCATAACTAGTCCGCGAACTAAATGACCCGCTAAGAGTTATTTACATCTATGTTGTTCGGACTCTCCAAAAATATCGATGGGTGCGTGTCGGATCCTTCAAAAATAGTGTATTTTTGGAGGATCCGACACAGATGCGACAACTATTTTGGAGAGTCCGCGCAACATAGATTTACATCTGGAAACTTGAAAAATACTTACTTCTCCAACATTAAATAAAAATCTCCGGTTGTCAAAAAAGAGGAGGACAGAGGGTGATGTATCTTGAGTATCCATGCCATTTCCCAGGATCTGTGAGAAATTCAAAGAATCAAAATAAGCTAATTTTTTCTGAGGTGTGAAAAAGCAAGGGAGTCAAATGACAAATTCGATTAGATTAATGTACACGTATGCTTTTATAAGCACATATGCCTTTACTGTGCAAAGTGATAGGTTAATTCTCTCCGTGAATATTCTGACAGAATCATAGAATGCTATCATGCAAAATTAATAGAAAGGAGAAACCTTTGTGCTTTGCCTTTTCTCAGGGCAAAAAAAAAAGTTCACCAAAATACCACTTGCGTATAATTGTCAGTACTCCCTCTGTCCCAATTTATGTGGCGGGGCTCGAGCTTCGAGAGTCAAACTTCTTAATTTTGACCGTGAATTCGGACATAGAATCTTTAAGTTTCTTAAAACAAATTTTATATATTTGAAAACTACGCAAAAAGTAGTGTAAGTCACAATAATTAACAACTAAAGATATCTAAAAGGCATACGAAAAAATAACCATCAAAGAAAAACTCGTTTGACTCTCGAAATTCGAACGCTCCAAATAAATTGGGACGAAAGGGAGTACTATATTTTGATTGCCAGGGTTTATGCTCTTATGAATCACTGAATCTTTTGACACAAATAAGGAATACAAGACATAATAATAATGTTAAAACACAAAACTAACAGAACGCAACAACAACAACAACAACAAGGAGACAATATTAGTATCACCACAGCAATCATAGTAAAAATAAGAACACCATGGTAAATAGGACCTACACTAAAAAGCGAAATAGTAAGACACAACATTGTCACTACCTAGTAGCTATGTCAGACAAAACCCCTATTCGCTAGTCCCACAATGTTACGAAGTAACTCAACTAACTCCTAACCTACAACTCTAATACTCTAATAGAATTAGAACGCAGAAAACTTTATTAGAAAAAGAACTTCAAAATACCAATTTCATACAAATTGTAATGGAGAACTATTTTGAGTAACACCCAATTAGTTTAATATAGTAAAAGAGGGATAATAGGAGGCAAAAGAAGAAAAAAAGGTGAGCTTTTTAAATTACAAAACAACGTTAAGATTGAAAGCAAAAACTAGATGATTTTGAGCATCATATTCTGAAGCCCTTCAGTACCTGTACGTATGCCTTTCCATTACCACCACTGGACTTGTTTTGGTCTTTGGGTTTAGGGTTCTTCTTCGGCCTATCGTTATTATCTTTACCCTCGGCCCTTCTTTTGTTCTTCTTCTTCCCCATTGGCAAGTGGCGACCTCCCTATGTTTTGGGAACTGCTATGCAACTGCAGAACTCAAAAAGTAAGTTTTACTTTTTAGATTAAAAACAAAAATACTTACCTTCACTTTTTATAATGAACTACTATGTGAAAATTTTCAAACTTTTTGAAATAAATCTATATAAAAAATATTATAAGTGATAGTAATAGTTAATAACTTAAAATATTTAAAAATATATGGTATAAAATTTTATTTGACTTTCAAAAGAGTAATAATGTCACATACAGTGAAACTAGTACTAGAGGTGCGATTACAAAGCCAGGGCCGGCTCCAACTTTATATGGGCCAAGGCTTGTGCCTTGGGCCCCCAAATTTATGGGCCCATATTTTAAAAATAATAGGTTCATAGGTATTTTTAAAAATAATATTTAATATTTTAAATACAAAACTAAAGTTTTTAATATAAAGGAAAGAAACTTTCTAGATATATAAATAAAATAATTATTTTACTTACTTAAAAATGTGTAGATGAATAGTTTTCATACCTTTTAGTTTTCTATTTTTTACTTTTCATTACAAAAATTGTTCCATCTTTCTTAATTTGTCCAAGTCAATCTTTCTTTTCTTCCAATCTCTTCATATTTTAGAAAGCCCTAAATATTTTTTTATGTTTCTTTTTGATATTCTTACTCACTTCTTTCTCCAATAGTTCATTACCCACCTTCTTTCTTCAAGATTTCACTAGTTCAAGTATTCAGCAATACTTTTAAACTTCCAATAGTTCTATACTTCTATTGCTTTGTAAAATCTTATCCAAGATCAATAATATCTCAAGAAAGATTAAATAAGTTGGAGGTATTATCAACCGAGCAAGCATTATTGGATAAAATCGACTTCAAATAAAAACATATCTTATAACTTTCTTTTAGAAATTTAGGCCTCATATTAAACTTTGACTTTAGGCCTTGTATGTGCTTGAGTCGCCCCCGACAATAGCCATTTTGATTAAGTTGATGTATTGACAAATGTCATACCTATTTTTGTTGATTTAGCCCAGGGGCTACTCGACATAATATGGGCCTAAGTCGAAAAATAAAAAGTGAGGTTTTAATTTATTTTTTTTTTACTCTTATAATTTATCGAAATCTAAAGAAGTTATAATTAGTTTTAATTATTGCCAATGTCTAACTTTAATATCTCTTCTATTATCATGTCGAGCTTTATTGATTTATTTTTGAAAAACTTTTTCAACCGAGGTAACTGATATAGAAACTATTAACGGTAATTGAATTAACTCTTTTTACCTAATTGAGTTTGTCAACTAGAGTATTCTTCTACTTATACAATTTCTCTTAGCATTTTAATTCTAAATATAAGTTTTACTAAAAACAAGAAGTATTAAAGTTGAAGAAAAGACGTGCAACATTTAAATAAAATACGTCTGACGGGCATTCACAAGAAGCTGGAATAGCTCAGTTGGTTAGAGCGTGTGGCTGTTAACCACAAGGTCGGAGGTTCAACCCCTCCTTCTAGCGGCTTTTTTTTTTTTTTTTTTTTTTTTTTTTTTTTTTTTTTTTTGTAGTTTACATAACTTTCATGGCCCAAACATCATTTCCCTTAGATGCTTCCTCCTCAGGGTGCCACTACCTTATACAGGCTTAAGCGGCCCAAACATTGAACTAATGGTATCCCAACAATTTTATTTCCGTTTAAGATATTTTTGCAACAATTTGGTGGGTCATAACTTTTTCACAAGTTATGACTTATGTATGGCAAAAAAATTACAATTTCACAACTTGCTTGGTGTTACATACTTTGGTACAAATTGTTCAAAAAATTTATTGGATTCAAATAGGTAAAACCTTCTTTGTTCACAAGTTATGGCTGACATGAACTTTGGTACAACTTAGTCACAAGTTATGTTAAAGGCAAATTATAAATTTGGATGAATAAAACTTGCCTAGTTCACAAGTTACGACTGGTATGCATAACTTTGGCATAACTGTTCACAAGTTCTATCGGATTGAAAAAAAAAATTCGCGTCATCTTTATTCTACTTATCTTATTAAATTATTTATATTTCAGCCGGTTTGGCAAAGCTGCATGCACAACTATTTATAAGTTTTTTTGGGACATAAAAGACTTGGCAGAATGGACTATGATCTTAAAAAGCTCTTTCTAGTATTTTGTTTTTAAAATAGTAGTTCAAAGTGTTTTTACACGATGTCTAGAACAAATTACAACAACAATAACAGTAACCCTGTATAATTTTACTAGTGGGGTCTGAGAAGGATAATGTGTACGCAGATCTTACCCCTACCCTGAGGTAGCGAGCCTGTTTCCGATAGACCCTCGGTTCCCTCCCTCCAAGAACTCCCCATCTTGCTCTTGGGGTGACTCAAACTTACAACTTTTTAAATGAAAGTGAAGGGTGTTCACCACTAGATCAACCCACTATTCGAATAGAACAAATTAGCGGGAACTAATAGTTGTACATCTCAGGTACACCTATTAAAGTGATGCAAAACAATAACAAAATATTTTTAACTCGTCAATAACACGTGGCACCATAAACTACATCTTTCATCAAGATGAGGGACAACAGAGATATTCTTTAGGACAAGGCATTCTTGGCAAGATAATCAATCATTAATCCATAAGTCAACAGTTTTTATTTATTTTTTCCTTTTTTCCATTTTCTTTATTGGCAGTGTTTGGCTAGTTTAAAAAGGAATGGAAGGAAGAAAAAGGAGCCTTTGGTGAAATTAATTGGACTTACACTTGCTGATCTAATATAAATTGTAATTAGTACTTGGACTGACATTTTAATCTCTAACGAATTAAACAGTAGATGCACGTGAAAGGTAATTAGTGATAAAAATGATAGTAGTAGCTAGTCTTACATCCAAAAACCATGATGAGATTGCACTGTCTTTTTAAATGTGAGCATTTTTATTTTTTTGTCGGCTTAATTTAATCATTCATTTAGCTTTTCATTGCCAAATCAACGAGGAGGTGGTGATAATTTACTTTATCTTTTTGAGACGAGAGATAAAACTCCCGTTTTGATATAGATTTTGGCAATTTTTTTTCAGTTTTTTTTTGAAATATTATTTGTTCATGGAATATGATCATTTTTAAAAATAATTTTTTTTTTTTTCAAATTTTCAAAAATCTGGTTTATGACAGTTTTTGGATAAAATTTACTATTGCACTCACAAAACTTTTAAATTTTTTCAAATAAAATATATGTCCAAAAATTATTTTTAATTTTCAATTTAAAATCAAATATATATTCGGCAGGAAGGAAAACCACAATATCCACCACCAACGAGAGCGAAAGGGGAACAATGAAATTTCAAAAAGATAAAAGCACAACAACATCAATGAATATGATGGCCCTTCGATCTCACCAAATCCATAAAATCAATTCGACAACAACATGTCACCAAATGTGTACAGCTGCAAACCAAAAGCTACAAAGAGACAAAAAACAAAAAACAAAAAACAAAAGGTACTACTACAAAAGAAAGAAAGAGCAAAATATTGCTTTTTTCTTCCTTTTATTACAAAGAAAATAATGCAAAATACATTTTCAAACACAATAATCAAATTCTAACAACATAGAAATTAATTAAAACTTAAAAATCGGTGGATAGAGGGGCATGGTCATGGTTCATGAACACATTACTGTAAATAAGACCAGCCAAACCACCACCAACAAGGGGTCCAACCCAGTAAATCCAGTGACCGGCGAAGTTACCACTAGCCACTGCAGGTCCAAAGGACCGAGCTGGGTTCATTGAACCACCAGAGAACGGGCCAGCAGCCAAGATGTTGGCACCAACAATGAAACCAATGGCAATGGGTGCAATGGTGCCCAATGAACCCTTCTTTGGGTCAGCTGCTGTGGCGTACACTGTGTAAACCAATGCAAATGTGATGATAATTTCCATCACTACTCCTTCAACAGCTCCTACTCCAGCTGCTACACTGTGGATTGGAACAGCCTAAGGAAAAAAACAAAAGAAAATAAGTTAGATGTCAAAATATGGCTAAAAACTGAATTATAGTTAGAGGCAGATCTAGAATCAGTTCTATATATAGATTTACTATTTTCAGCTGGAACTATATAAACATATGCAAGAATATAAAATAAAATGTATAAAAATATAATAAGATCATGCTCATTCTGAAAGTACCGGCTTTAATCCTAGATTCGCCTTTGGTATAGCCAGAGGCGGACCTATGTTAGACCGAGACGGGTCACCAACACCTATAAAGTTTGACAAATTTTTTATACATACATATATATGTCTTTAAAAAATAGTGATATATTACGTAATGGACATCTTATATACAAAACAAATTTTGGTTGAATCCAACTTTTAAATCCTGAATCCGCTCCCAGGTATAGCCATGGGAATTAAATTGTTTTATGTAGATTGAGAAGTCTAGGAAGGATGCTTCCACTTTCATAAGAAAGCTCGATAAAATTTAATGTATTTATGATGTAAAAAATATTTATATTATTAGAATACATAAAAATCCAATTGTAAGTTAGTGTCTACACTAATTATATACATGGTTAATTAGTAAGACATAGCATGTAACAACTTAAATTATACCGACAATATAAAAAAAATTATACCAGACAATGTATATAACTTAATTTTCGTTTGAGAGATAGGGACTTACCAATCCTCCGGTGACAACTTTGAGGAGGTAAGAGGCAACAGTGGCGCCCAAAAGTTGAGCAATCCAGTAGAAGAGGCCAGTAAGAAGAGTAATTTGGCCACCAAGAGCTAATCCGAAAGTAACGGCAGGGTTGACGTGACCACCGGAGATGTTAGCCCCGACTGAAACTGCCACGAACAGAGCGAACCCATGGCAAACTGCAACCGCTACAAGCCCCGACGGATCAAGAGCAGCATCTGCTGTCAACTTGTCTGCATATCCAATGCAATAGTAAGTTTAGAATCATATATAATCCAACGGAAACTAAATAGAACACAAAGGTAAATTTAGAATTTAGAGCCAACGAGTTCAGAATATATGTAATCGGCGGTATATATTTAAACTAAATTGTATAAATGATGATTTAACCGAAAGTGGTGGATTTA